TGCGGATAGAAGAGGTCCTAAAGCTGCTATATTGGCGCCAAAATTTGCCTGCATTCTGACTGCATTCATTATCTTTGAAAGTACACTGAATTAAAGCAACAAAATGAATGAAACTATCACAATAAAAAGGTTACAAGCCGACCCGTGTGTCATTTTCACAACACTAAAATCAACTATCATGCTCATAAGTTCAAGACACGGTGCTGAAGTAAAAACTGGAGTTCAGTAACTCAAGCTAGCATTGCTAGTGTCGCCGCTAGCCGTAAGCATTAGCCACAAAGCTGTAGTACATTACAGAACTCGGTTATGTGATAAAGAGCAATAAAAGAATGTGCAGAATAGTTTGGGGAGACTGCATAGATTTCTGGTGTTAACATTATCCACAAAACTGTTGAACTCGGTCATAAAACAAATTAGGGGATATAGCCTATGACTCACTCAAACAGACTGCTAGTGTTAGCATTGTCTTCAAATCTGTAATTCTTATTAAATGACCTTAAACTAATACAACACAGTGGTTGGTCATTGAACATGAAAATGATTTAGATAAAAATGCTTTAATATTTCTTACCGTGTCTGTATATCAGCAAAGGCTGAATTTCTCAGGAAAGTTGTGCACTGTGTGTGTACGCAGCCCAGTCAAAAGAGGGAGGCAGAGCAGAAGACTAGCGTGCCATCTACTTATCTTAAACCTTGCTCAATCAAGTAATCAAGATGATATTATGGTGTTGAAAAGAAATACATTCTTAGTCTCTTTTTAAAACCAGTTTTTCCCATAATTTCACGAACCACAACTGGAAGATTGTTCCAAAACACAGTTGACCTATAAAATACAGTCCTCTTCATAGAGTCAGACTTAGGTAGGGGTAAAGTAATCTGTCCACTCTTCGCCCCTCTAGTGTAATGTGAATGCGTATTTGAGCAGTAAATTATATTATAAAGAAATTTAGGAGTCTGAGTGTTAATGATTCTATGAAAGTATATTAATATATTAGCAGATAGTCTATGCTTGACCATCAGCCAAGCAAGACGATCGTGCATTTCTGCAGCACTAGTTCTTGAAGAACAACCAAGAACCAGTCTTGCAGCCTTGTTTTGAGCGACTTGTAATTTTCTTAGAAGACAGTTTGAAGCAGCAGACCATACAAGTGAACAGTAGTCTAAATGACATAAAACCAATGTACAAACAACACGACTAAACAACTGTGAATTGAGAAACGGTGCACATTTACGTGTTATGGCAACAGCTCTATCCATTTTGGCAACAACTTTATCGATGTGATCAGACCATGACAATGTGCAATCAAGCCAAAGTCCAAGAAACTTCATCGTTTTTACTTGCTGTATAGTTTGACCTTTTATTTGTATATTCATTTTAGGATTATCTAATAATCTATACTTAGAACCAAATATTATACTCATTGATTTTGATATATTTAGAATAAGTTTATTTGTTTTAATCCAGTTACATAATTTGCTGATCTCACAAGACAGAACCTGATTAAGCTCTGAACATGTAGGGGCTGCATAATAAAGAGTAGAATCATCGGCAAACATAGTCAATGTACCCTTACTGAGTACATTCGGCATATCATTTGTAAAAATTGAAAATAAAAGAGGTCCAAGGCAGCTTCCTTGGGGGACTCCACAGTCCAGGGACTTACTACAGGATAATGCACCATTAAAATAAACTTTTTGTGACCTCTCAGATAGATAGCTCATAAACCACTTGATTGCAGAGGAAGTAAAACCATAATCAGTAAGTTTGGAAATCAAAATGTCATGGTCGATCACATCGAAGGCAGCACTGAAGTCAAGTAATATTGTACCCACTAGCATTGAGTCATCAATTGATGCTAACCAGCTATCTGACATTTGTGTCATTGCAGTGCAGGTGGAATGGCCAGACTTATAAGCATGTTGGAACATTGTGGTTAAATCATTGTGAGAAAAGTAATCTTGCACTTGCTTAAATACAATCTTTTCCAATAATTTACTCAGAATAGGCAAAATGCTAATAGGCCTACTATTCGGACCACAGAAAACTGATTTTGTGTCTTTGGGTAGAGGAATGATCTTGCCCTCCTTCCAACGTTTTGGACACACACTACTAATCAGACTTTTGTTAAATGTGTGACAGATTGGTTTAGAAATATGTGCAGCTGATAATTTCAACAGCCTACTATCCAAGTTGTCGATACCAGCAGACCCACCAACAGTCAAAGATTTCAACAGCATTTCCACCTGCACAATACTAACCTGATGAAATTCAAAATTACACAATTTATCCTTCATAGTAATTTTTTTTATCAGCTCATCGGAGTTGGAATCAACAGTGCAATCCATTTTCGCTCTAGGTTTAGAAACCTTATTAACAAAATAATCATTGAAATAATTTGCAATCTGTGTTGGCTTAGTCAAATAAACCCCATTCAATTCAACAAAAGAAGAACAGGTAGATTTTTTCCCCATGATTTCGTTGAGTACATTCCACATTTTCTTACTATCAGTACCACTTTCGGAGATTCTCTTTTGAAAATATTTTTTTCTTTTTCACTCTATTCACCTTGGTCTCATGATTCCTCAAAGTACAATAAAGTTTTCTGTCTCCGAGAGAGCCAGAATGAACAGCAACCTTTTTAGCCTCAACCCTTTGAGCCATCAAGTTCATTAATTCAGTATCAACCCAAGGAGCACTTTTGGCTTTAACTGTAAATTTCTTTAACGGGGCATGATTGTTAACAATTCTCATAAAAAGATCCATAAATAAATTAAGGGAGGTATCCACATCATCAATGACACACACCACATCCCATTTAATATTATCCAGTTCATTTAGAAAATTCTCCTCATTAACTGACCTATAAGTTTTTTTCATAATGATTTTAGGACATGCTCTAGGCAGCTTTGTTCTCCTGGAGACAGCAATGCAGTTGTGGTCACTGAAGCCAACTGTTACAGAAACGGGTGTTGAGCACATATCAGGATTATTAGTGTAAATATGATCAATACATTTTGATGTTAAAGATCCTGCACTATTACTAGAAATTCTTGTGGGTTGAGACATTAATTGAGATAATTAGATGGATTATTCACTTCACCTTTTTGGCTTTTGAGAGTCTGCGTACAAAAATCCTATTAAATCTCAACTACGTTCAAACTACCGCAAAATTGGCTAGAAAGAAGCAACTGAGTAAAGAAACAAAAGTACAGATTTGTACATTGAGGGAAGAAGGATACACAGAAAGAGGAATTGCAAAACGCCTAAAGGTGTTTAACAAAGGAGTCCACTACACTCTGAAGAGACTAGAGGAACCTGGAAGTTATGATGATAGAAAAAGATCTGAATGAGAGAGAGTTACTACAACAGCAGAGGATAAACATAGCATTGTCACCAGTAAGAGAGATCGGCGAAAGACAGCACCACAAATAAGGGAGAAAATCAACATGACAAGGTCGAAACCCATATCTCTGACAACCGTGAAATGACGTTTGAGAAAGGCTGGTCTGAAGGGTTGTGTATCTGCAAAATAACACTACTTCGTCCACAGAACAAGAAAAAGAGATATGAGTGGGCAAAAGCTCACAAAAATTGGACTTATGAGGACTACAAACAAGTTTGCACTGTTTGGTTCAAAACGCGGAGCCTATGTCCGCAGTCAAACTGGTGAACGTCTGAAAGCACCATGTGTTACACCCACAATTCAGCATGGACGTGGTAGTTCTGTGGTATGGGGATGTTTTGCAGGTGATGGAGTAGGAGATTTGTTTGAAGTAAAGGGTATCATGAAGAAAGAACAGTACCACTCCATCCTCCTGCACCATGCTGTTCCATCTGGACTCAGACTTGTGGCTCATAAGTTTGTTTTGCAGCAAGACAATGACTCTAAGCACTCTGCCAAGCTCTGTCAGGGTTACCTAAACAAAAAAGAAGAGGGAGGTGTTCTTCAAAAGATGGTTTGGCCCCCTCAGTCTCCAGACTTCTCTCCGATTGCGCTTGTGCGGGATGAATTGGATCGATCGGTGAGAAAAACGCGTCCCATGAATCATCAGTCTCTTTTTAATGAACTTAATAAAGCTTGAAATTGCAATCCCGGGAACATACCTTAAAAAACTTGTGGAACAAATGGCTGGTATATGCCAAGCTGTTGTTAAAGCCAGAGGAGGTTACTTTAAAGAAAGCAAAGTCTAAGCAACAATAACTCAAATACCTAATAATTATAGTCAGAATGTCTTCTGATAAGTTACTCTTTACACAATAGTCATGTTTATTGTGTTGCAAATTATATATATGAAACTATGATCTTTTTTTGTACAAATCTGATCTTGCTTCCAAACTTTCGGCCTGTAGTATATGTAAAAAAGATTCATCTGTAAAGAATTTACCATATAAAGTGTTTAAGGTGTAAATAGTTTTATTATGTAAAGAGTAATAAATTTAAATAGTTTCATATGTAAAATGTACTACATATATGAAGTTTAATATATAAATAGTTTTAAATGTAAATTTTATCTATAAAGCATTTGAAATGTTATTGGTTTCATATGTGAAGAGTTTAAATGATCAGTCCTTTACATTTAAGGACACAAACCAAAATAAGAGGAATAAATCACATGAATGGAGATCAGACTATATATGAGTTTTGATAAAGTGTACTTATAGAAATCTCCCAAAGACTCATCAGGACTCTTTATTTCGGTGTTTTTACAGTTAAACCTCCTGATCCTCATGTATGAAAATTGAAATATTAAAATATTAGAGACGAAAAGAGAAGGACGTACAAATACAGCTGATATGAAGTCTGACTCACCCAAACTGTGACCAATCAGAGAAGCCCTGTTCTTAGGTGGGATGGGAGGTGCTGGCCCCTCCCCCTCTCTTCCTCCCCCACCTGTGCAGGTGGGTCAGGTGTATAAAGGAGTCTTTCTCTGGGTGGAAACAGACTCCAGCTCTGCTCACACTGACATCTTTGTCACTGACTGTCTAGCCCTGCAGGAAGATGGAGAAGCTGCTCGCCACCTGCGTCGCTCTCCTGGTCGCCTCCTCAGGTAGGAGACTCTCTCTGCTCACCTAAGACTCATCTCTTTTTTTCACTTTACAGGCTGAATTTAAAGGAAAAAAACACCTGAAACTGTAAAATAGTTATAGTCTAACATATCTTTATGATGTCTCAGACTGAAAACTTGGAATAATATGAACAAAAACTCTCCTCTATGAAACATTCTGAAAAAGAGCAAAAACCTCAGAAATCAGGAGGTTTTTAAACAGGCAGATGATAGAAAATAAATTAGAGATACAACATCACTGCAGCTTTTTCTGCCTATTTTCTGTTAACAGACGACAGAGACTGTGTTGTTTTTTTAAATTCAAGGTTTTCATAATATTTTCGGTGAGTTTAGCTCATCATTTTTCTCAGTAAGGGTTTAAAAGAGTCAGAAATCAGAGAGAGGATGGACACTGACACAATAAGGAGGACATACTACAACAAAAAACTAAAAATAATCTCCCTAACAGAAGATAATAGGAGTTTGTTTAAATAGAGCGTAATTAATTTATTACACTATTACATTATAACATTATAACATTATAAGACTAATACACTATAACTTTAAGAAACTAATTCACTATTACAGTATGACACTAATAAACTATTACAATATAACACTAATACACTATAACAGTGTAACGCTAATACACTATAACATAACATTTATTACACTAATATATTATCACACTAATACACTATTATATTATAACATTATAAGACTAATACACTATAACTTTAAGAAACTAATTCACTATTACAGTATGACACTAATACACTATTACAATATAACACTAATACACTATAACAGTGTAACGCTAATACACTATAACATTATAACATTTATTACACTAATATATTATCACACTAATACACTATTACATTATAACACTAATAAACTATTATAGTATAACACTAATGCACTATTACAGTAAAACACTGATACACCATAACATTATAACATCAATACACTATTACAGTATGACACTAATAAACTACTACATTTTCACTCTTATAAACTATAACATTATAACACTTATACACAGTGAAGGATACATTGACCCGTATCCTTCAAGTGAAGGTGGACAGCTGAGTCCTGATCTGAGGAAGTGGCTCTCCTGTGTTGAGCCATGCGCTTGTGAAGCAGTTGTTTAGTTTCCCCAATGTACAGGTCCGAGCATTCCTCACTGCACTGGACAGCGTACACCACATTACTCTGTTTATGTCTCGGTGTTTTGTCCTTGGGACGGACTAGCTTCTGCCTTAGTGTGTTACCAGGCTTGAAATTAACAGGAATATGGTGTTTGCCAAAGATCCTCTTGAGTTTTTCCGACAGGCCTGCAACGTAAGGGATTACAGTGCTCTTGCGTCTCTCCTCCCTTTCATGTTCAGTGTTATTTCTCTTTCTGTTCTTTACAAAGGCCCACTTAGGGTATCCACAGGTTGTCAGGGCATTTTTGATGTGCTTCTGTTCCTTTTCCTTACCTTCTTTCTTCGTGGGAATATTCTCAGCCCGGTGGTTGAGTGTTCTGATGACACCCAGTTTGTGCTGGGCACAAGCTGTCCACCTTCAATTGAAGGATACGGGTCACTCTTTCGAGGACAGCAATGTACAGGTGCTGGCTCGAGAAGACAGATTGTTTGAAAGAGGAGTTAAAGAAGCCATCTTTACCAGGCTGGAGAAACCTTCTCTGAACAGAGGGGGTGGACTCAGGCACAATCTCTCTGGCACTTACAATGCAGTTCTCAGCTCTCTCCCCAGGAAGCTCCACAAACATTCACACCTGGAACCACATGACCCAGGTGGCATGAGTCATGTGGTCACATGACAGGAGTCGCTAACGACCCTTTCAGGTTAACGACTTGGGGGGGGGGGGGGGACACACCCAGAGATGGGTTTCTACGACCCATTCTTTTCAACTCCACCCAGTCGTTATCTGTCCCCTTCTCCAGTAAGATAAATATCTGCTCCTCACACTAGCAATATTTAGAACTGAAGAAGCTTCTTGGATAAGAGGCGAAACGTCTTCTCAACTCTACACAGTCCAGTTGCCTGTTTTAAGTCTTCAAGATTACATCATGACACTAATAAACTACTACATTTTCACACTTATAAACTATAACATTATAACACTAATACACTGTTACATTGTAACACTTATAAACTATTACAGTATAACACAAATACACTATTAGATTATAACACTAATTAACTATGACATTATAACAATAACTATTACAGTATAACACTAATACACTATAACATTATAACATTATAAGACTAATACATTATGACACTAATAAACTATTACATTTTCTCTCTTTTAAACTATAACATTATAACACTAATACACTATGACATAACACTTATAAACTATTACAGTATAATACTAATACACTATTACATTATAACACTAATACACTATCACCGTATAACACTAATACACTATTACAGTACAACACTAATACACTATTACATTAGTACAATATTACATCTAAGTTTTAAACATTGACATTATTACACTACTACACTATTATATATTTAGACTATAACATTATTACACTAGTTCTCTGTCCATAGGGGGGTGCCAAAATCAACAAAGAAAGATTGATATTTTTAACTTTACCCATTTTATCTGACAAACATCTTATCTTTATCTTTGCCCTCAGTTTCCTAAACCACAACTCCTGTAACCATGATAACCAACTTAATTTCCTCCCCAGCATCATCATCTGATGTCACTATACGCGCAGTAACCATGACAACAGGCAGTAACATCAACTCAACTGTTAACTCAACGACAGCAGCCATCAACAGCTTCAGCTCTGACCCACCCACAGCGTCACCTGACTCCGGTGCCGCTAATGTCACAACAATCAGCAAAACCGCCCAGCCCAGCAACACCAGCAACACCGTTACGACTGGTGTTACCATGGCGACAATCTCTCCAAACAGCACCAATGGCTCCCCCGTAACCATAACAACAAACACCACACAGGCTGCCAGTGATTCCCCCGGCAACACCATTCAGACAAACTCTACAGTCACCACACAGATGTCCAACATCACCATGGCAAAAACAGTTACAGCAACCAGCAGTGTAGCCCCCCCATCAGCTGGGGGGGTTCCTGGGTGGGGAATCGCCCTGCTTGTCCTCGCTGCTCTGGCGCTGCTGCTGCTCCTGCTGCTGCTGATCGCCCTGGTGAGTCCGGCGCCTCTGATCAGGTCAGAGGTCAGGAGGCTGTTAGCTCAGCTGATGCTGCGTTCAGGTCACCGCGGAAGTCAGGTGTCTGAGCTGGGGATGACGTCGCACCCGAGTTACCAGCATTTCAGTGACCAAGTCAGAAAAAAACAGAAAACAAGATGTTGCAAAGGGACCAAATATTTGTCCAGAAGTTACATCAATTCCGATGAGGCAAGCGCTTAAGTAACTTTCGTACATGTAGCCATCTTGTTTCCGCCTCCGATTTAGTTTTTTTCTGACTTCATGGATGAAACGCTGTTAACTCAGGTGTGACGTCATTTTCAGCTCCGACATTTCACTTCCAAGATAACTTGAACATAGCATTAGCTTCAGGAGGAGGGGACTCTGTGGACCCGTAGTTTCCTGTATTTTTCTGTCGTTTCCAGCAGTTTTCTTTAGTTTTCTGTAGTCTTCTGTAGTTTTCTGATTTTCCTGTAGTTTTCTGTAGTTTCCAGCAGTTTTCTGTAGTTTCCTGTTGTTTTCTGTAGTTCCCTGTAGTTTCTGGTAGTTTTCTGTAGTTTCATGTAGTTTTTTGTAGTTTCATGTAGTTTTCGGCGGTTTCCTGTAGTTATCAGTGAGCAGAGATATAAACAGATGTGACCGTCTCTCGATGGGTCTTTCTGATTGGATATTATCAGACCAATCAGCTCCTACGTTGAATAGTTGTAGTGTCTTAGGTAGAAGAGCAGCAGGTCTCACTCACAGTCTCTCTCTCTCTTTCCTTTCCAGCTGGTTTGGTGGTGCTGCTGTAGGGGGCGTCACAAAGACTTCAGCCCCTATGATACACTGTCCCACAGAGATGACATTCCTCTGTACACCACGCATGGGCGATTCGGACGTCCCAACGGGGACACTTTTGTAAGTAAACCAATTATTTTGCCAACAGTTTATTGATCTTTTACCGATAGTTTATTGATATTTTGCCAATATTTTATTGATATTTTGCTGACAGTTTATTGATATTTTGCTAATAGTTTATTGATAGTTTACCAATAGTTTCCTGATATTTTGCCGATAGTTTATTGATATTTTGCTGATAGTTTATTAATATTTTGCTGATAGTTTATTGATATTTTTCAGACAGTTTATTGATAGTTAACTGATCGTGTATTGATATTTTGCCAATAGTTTCCTGATATTTTTCTGATAGTTTATCCATAGTTTGCTGTGTGATGTCTCCTGCCCCCTCAGGTGTGTGTGGTCCTCATGGGTGTGTGATGCTGTAATGGTTTTCTCCTGTTTGTGTTTGTAATGAGTCACAGTCAACATTTACTCAGGGATCGGACGGCAATAATGTCGCACCTCCCTGTGCGTTAGAGTGATTGATGTTTCCATGACAACGGGTTAACCAATAAAGCTATCAGTTGGAGGGGCTGAGTGTTAAGAGTGTTTTCTGTTGGCGCTGTGATTGCCTCATACTGACATAGAGTAAATCATTATACAGTCCAACTGTTTTTAACCCTTTAATCACTCTGCATGCTGTCTGAGTGAAAACATGATCCTCTAACAATAACTGTGACTCAGTCTGTGAAAACATGGACAGCACTCTCTTTGAAAGCTCCTACCAGGGTTTTTTTGGACATTTATGACACAGACTAAAATACAAACCAAAGCCTTTTAATGACGTCCAGAAGAAACCAGGAGCATCATTTTCACATCTTCATTCCTGATGTTCACAGCAAATCAGCAGAATTTCAACATGAGTTTGTCACAGACTCACCTGAGAGTCCACGTTTCCTCTGTGTGTTCAGGGTTTGGAGGCTCTCATGTAAAACTCACATTTCAGGTGTTTTATTTGAGAATTGAGAAGAATGAACTTCTCTGATTTACTTCGTGAACCATGTGAGGCTTGTGGCTCGTTGAAAGGATTAAATGATAAAATGATTATTATTCATCACATTTCATATATTTTCCCATTGAACTGTTTACATTTCATGTAGTTAGAAACCTTTGAAACAGTAAAGTTAAGTGGTAAAACTTGAAACAGAATCTGGGAAAATAAAATGAACTTAAGAAAAGAAACTTGTATAATTGATCAGATAAACTTTCTGCTTTAATGATGAATTTCTCTGTTCGTGTTTTTACAGGATGAGGCGGACAAACCCATGAAGAGGAGGGCGAGTGTGTACACCATCAACCAGTAACCCTGACCTGATCCCTCAGAAACCACCAAACACTCTCTCTTTTTGATTAAAATATTATTTAAATATTGAAGGTGAAAATGGAGCTTTATTTTTATGATTTTAAAGATTGAAACAATCAAATTTTAATGAGAAACTTTACAATAATGTAACGCCGGTATTCAATGTTTTTCCTCTTAAAGATACAAGTGTGACTGCTGTAGCTCACAGTTTTTTATAAATCATATTTAATTAAAAATAAAAATAAAAAAGAGTTTGAACTGAAGAGTTTGATCATGAGATTCATATGAAGAGGTTTTTTATTTTATACTTTTCTGAGTGAGTGAAACTTTCTAATGGTTTAAAGTTTTTCATGGAAACTTTTTTGTAATGTACGAGAACACATATATTCGGTTTTATACTAAAGTTATTCTGCTTTATCTCTAATAATTCATAAATGATCTCAATGATTGTAAAGAGGAGTCAGAAGAGTTCCTGGTATGAATTTATTTGAACTCGATGTTAAACTAACTAAAAACTTTATAATTCAGAGAAATAATTCAATATTTCATGAGAAATTATCATGCCTAAAATGTTTTGTTTTTTTTAACTGTCAACGTGTTTTAACACGACTGTAAATGAAAAAGAGTTCAAATATAAAACAAAGAGGTTATTACTATGTTATAAGGAGAGTCCAGCTGACACTCAGAGTTTGATTATTTTTTATTTCTCTGTGATTTTGTTAAAACTAAAGTTATGGAGACCATATTTTCATGTATTATGAATTTAAAATGAAGTTTGTTGGCTAGTCTTCAACCGTAAAACATTATAAATAAAAGTTTGATCAAACATATTTACTCCCTTCACAAGTTTTATATATTAAGATTGTTATAAAGCATGAAAGTATATTTGTACTCTTATTATAACAGTGGACTTTTTATCTAAAGTGTTTCCACTTTGTCTTTTTAATTTTTAAGTTTCTTCATTGATTTTGGTTTTAATTTAATATGAATGTGTATGTCGTTATAATATTGATAATCATGTTTGCATTAAGAACAACAGAAGACTTTCAGCTGTGAAGCAAAACACAGTTTTAGAGGAAAACCTGCAGACTGTCTGAAAATACTTCAACTCCTTTTGATTTTAATGTTTTATTTTCATCATTTCATGGCACAATATCAGACATGAATAAATTCCTTAAAAAATCTGAAATAAAATAGTTTCATCGTTTAATAAGATAAATATAAATTTCAGTGCTGAGATTTAATCCTGTTAAAATGTAAATGAAGGGTAAATATTTGACAAATCTTCATGTCTGATATTTATTTATTCTGCATAATTATCAAAGTTTTATTGCAAAATAAAAAAATGACATTTTTAACAGCTGTGATTTAATAATGTTCCTATATGATTAAAGTGATTTCCTGTTTGTGTTAGTCTAACACACATCAGTGTTTGCTCTGTTGCACTTCTGTCTAATTATGTTTATTTTAATGTAACTCATATGACTGATTCCTTTTAAATCACATTGTTGTTATAATTTAAATAAAAAAAAACATTACAAATAAAAAAACTAATTTAACTCTGAGTTTAATGTTTTTCAAGATTTACTTTAACAGTGAGTTTAAATCTGAAGATTCAGCTCTTCTCAGTGATCGGGTTAAGGCAGCAGAACCAGAACCTATCTGTGTTTGTCTGTGTCTGTCTACATCTGTCCGTGTCTGTCTGTCTGTGTCTGTGTCCGCCTGCGTCCCACTTTGTGGTCTGTATTGCCTCTTATCTGAAAGTGGATCCTCTTTGTTCTGGACTCTTTGTGGACCAAATTCTCGGTTCAGTTTTTGAAACCAAACAGTTTCTGAACAAAGAGCTGAATAAAGAAAGTGAAGAGGAGGCGTGGCGAGAAGAGGCGTGGAGGAATTTGTGAGTGTTTGATATGAGAACGATGACGGAGCTGATAAGAACATAAAGAGACAGGCTGGGTTGAGTGAGTCTAGCTCTGATTCACCTCTAATTCCTCCTGGAACTCTGCAGACTTTCAAAACTGGTCTGATCGGTTTATTGGATTAACGAGTTTCCTTCCAAAAATGATTTTCCAGGTAGTTCAGTTAGTTTTGTTCTGAGATATAAGGGATCTGGTTTACAGCTTAGTTTCCTCCTTCGAAACACGAATACGACATTTTCACATCAGAATAACATTTTCTGAAGAACCGGTGACGTTCAGAGGTTCATACGTCACAGGTCATGTGACATTTTCATCTCTGATTCAGATCATAGCCTGTATATACAATGGACAACTAGGTTCCTCCTTCCTCCAGTATACAGTTAAGGAACCGAAAAGCTCTCGGTAATTTCGTGTTTTTTTCTCCACTTCCTGAAACCAACATTGCGCAGTAGCATTGTACGCATTCGGTGGGAGAGTCGCCGCGAGTCGCTGTGATGATGCTCGGCTCAAACAGCGCATCCCCCAGGTGAGCTACACAAACTTGGTACTCCCATAGGCTGTATCAAGTGTCAATCATAGAAAACATGAACCCCCTAATAACTTTTAAAAATAGAGCTGCACAGAAAAAAAGAGGACTTGAGCACAAACCAGTCTGACAGTAACTACATGTCAACATCACAACCAGGGGGGAGAAACATTTATATTCTGTGTCATTAATTTATCAAGTTTGTCCACAGCTCCATAAGGAGGCAGGATTTATGACCTATACTGCAGCCCGTCACCAGAGGGTGCTGTTCTCACCCAGAGAGGAGGCAGACGGCTTTCCATTCGAGATACAGTCTATGGTTCAAACACCAACGATTCAGACTGAAGCTTTAAAACCACTTCAGAGATTCAGGGTCTCTAACGAACACACCTGATGCTTTCATTGACCAGGAACCAGGCCAGCTGACTGGTTGACTAATTAACCGACTGACTAAACGCCACATACAGGTGAAAGGTTGGTGCAGGGTCACATGGTTTTGGCCTGTTGTTTTGATGAAGTGGCGCCGTGTTTCTACCTCATCTCGAGGTTTTAATCAGGACCTGACAAAGTCTGGAGTCTCTGTGACAGAATTATGTCACTCAGCTGCAGTACCATCTTTGGCCACAGTGACAGCTGATGGCAGGAGGGGGCGCTGTTCTGCAGAAACACTGGAAGAAGCAAATCAGTGAAAAATCATGAATGATTTTAAGAAGACATCAAACTGATCTGATAGACACAAACAGGAAAAAAAAGTGAAAATATTGAAGATAATGGTAATTAATAATATAAAAAATATATTGGGAAAGATAATAATAATTAATTATATTAAAAATAATAATTAATAATAATTTAAAAAAAAATGATGCGCTTGAACCGAGAGGTTGCTGCAAGTCTGGTCTCTCTGCATTATCTGTAATTTTTGTAATTTTTGCTAATTTTTTTTCTCTTTTTTTTGTCATTTTGTTGGCTGCTGATGGATACTTATGCTGGGCAAAGAGTTTACTCAAGAGAAGAGCTCCTTTCATTGAGGAAAAGCAAATCTGGACAACAACATACAATTCCAGAGGTCATCAGGAGGTGTTATCGTGGTTGCCGTGCTGGTGCAAAGGTGAAGGCAAAGCTGAATGCTCTGAGGTTGGGATATAAACCCTTTCTTCCATCAATCCTCATGGGAAACATCAACTCTCTGCCCACCAAAAGCGATGAGCTGGAGAAATTGGTGAAGACTGAGAAAGCATACCGTGAGTGCAGTTTCCTGTGTTTTACTGAAACCTAGTTGAATCAAAACAACTCAGACTCCAGTGTGGATCTACCTGGCTTCACTGTTATAAGGTCAGACAGAGATGCTTAGGCTAGTGGCAAGAAGAAAGGAGGTCTGGCTTTATTTGTCAACCAGATATGGTGTAACCCTTTACACATAACTGTCTAGGAGAAGTTGTGCTGTCCAGATATTCAATCAGTCAATCAATCAAACTTTATAAAGTGCTTATTGAACTGTTGGCAGTTGCTATTCGGCCACGTTATGTTTCAAGAGAATTTAGTCATATCATAACAGTAGTTGTTTACATTCCACCCAGAGACTGTATATACTATGGACAACTTGGTTCCGCCTACCACCTGTATACGGATTTGAAGCCAAATAGCTCTTGGTATTTCCGGGATTTTTCTTCATTTCCTGAAACCAGTGCTGCGCAGTAGAGATGTGCGCATTCAGCCGTGCAGTCACCACGAGTCGCTGCGGTGATGCTCGGCTCAAACAGCGTATCCCCCGGGAGAGCTACGCAATCCCTGAACGCCCATAGGCTGTATCAGGTGTCAATCATAAAAAACATGAACCCCCTAATAACTTTTAAAAATGGAGCTTCACAGAAAAAAGAGGACTTAAGCACAAACCAGTCTTACAATAACTACATGTCAACATCACAAGCAGGGGGGGGAGAAAAATGTATGTACATTTCTAAAGTTGGTCCACAGCCCCATAAGCTTTGCTGGCAGAGCGGGATTTAAGTGCCTCCCCCCCCCCGGAGGAGGCAGACTCTGTCCATTCTATATACAGTCTATGATTCCACCCAGATCAACTGAAGAATGTTGCAATGTTTTGCATAATAGTGTTGCCAGGCTAAATCAAATCAAATCAAATCAAACTTTATTTATATAGCACCTTTCATGCAAGCTGCAACACAAGGTGCTTTACAAAAAGATAAAAACAAACAACGGTAGAAAACAAACAACGGTAAATATAAGGCAATTAAATAGGCATAGAACCCGTCCCTTCCCACCCACAGCAACACATACAGGCATGCACAGCAGCCCCCCCCACACACACATACACGCACACACGTATCCACACACCCACACACTAACTGTCAGTAAAAACATGGCAAGGCACTGAGGATCCTGGTAAGGAAAAACCACCTATGGGAGCCGTCCACACCGAGAGGAGCCACAGCCCACCCCCACAGGGAGCACCGCCCACGAGACCCCCCGACCCAGACAGCCCGGGTGCACCCCGCACATAGTGCAGAGCCCCCTAACCGTCCTGGCCTGGACGATCCCAAGGACCACGCCCCCGGGGGCGGACCAGACACACCTCCCAGTGTGGAGGGCCCCCACGAGGAAACACTGGAGCTAAAAAGACTAAGAGATAGTAGAGTACATGAATTAAAATAATGTTAAAATATCTAAATTACATAAAAATGTGATAAAAGTAA